CTAATGAGAGTATTTCAGGTCTATGTTGTAACTGCATTCTGGATTAGGGCTAAAGTGGGAGTGTTCATTGAATGATTTAATGAATACTAATAGTATTTGCTGTTTTAATACTTATGGCTCATTGTATCCTCTTATATATCCTTTTTTTTGTGAGTGTTTATAAATTTAGTTCATGTCTATTGGCCTCAGTACCAGAAGAAATTAGATGATCATTTAAGTAGTCCTGACCAAATCATGATTTAAATGAACTCCATTAAACACAGTGGGGAGATAGTCCTGTGTTTCAGTTGAGAATCTGCCCTTAGATATGGATTGTTTTAAATGAAAATCCAGCAGGAAAGATTTCCTGCACATGTGGTTTTTGAGTCATTCAATAATGTTGTTTGCCAGTGTGTGAAATAGATAGGCCTGTATTATTATTGGCAATACCCAGCATTATCTTCAGGCTATCCAGTGTTAATTAAAAATACTTATTTTTACTTAGTGGAATATTAATAACAGTGGGACTTAGTGCTTGTAAAATGTTTCAGATTTTAAAAATGCATTAAAATGGGAGCTGGATATTACTTTTAGGACCTTTACATGGGAACCATATCCCTGCTATTATATATATTTAACAGAAAAAAATAGGAGGTGAATGCTGGAGAACTGAGAGAGCTCAACTGCCTGATTTTTGAAATCCAGGCCCAGAATAATTTGCATACTTTTCCTACCCTTTTTCCTAATTCAGTCACCCTACACAAGAAGGAACTATTTCAGGATAGGCTTGTTTGTTTTGAAGTACAGCAGTCATGAAAAGAATGTTAATAGACAAGCAGATGCAGAATATTGCAAATACAGACCTGTGAGCTCCATCACTGGAGAGTGGAACACTGGAGAGGTGTTTGGATCACCTTTAGTTCCACTCTACCATCATTTTAATAGACACTTTTAAAATACGAAATCTGGTCTTTTTCAGTTTTTACAAAGTGTAGTCATCTAGTGTAGATCTTGAACTGTAACTGTCATGTGCAGGACTGAGGTGGAAGTGTGCAGAAGAATAAAAACTTGAAGGGATAATTCAGCATCCAAAGGTGCTTGGGGCCAATGGGCGACTGGAGAACACAGCACGACGCCGTTGACGTTTAGGAGTGTTCCCCCAGGAGACATTTTAGTCAGGTGTCCCTCTGACTTAAAAAGACTGTATACAGGTTAGAAATTCTAAAGTTTTTACAAGCAGGATTTATGCAAACAGTGGCGTGGGTTTTTTGTTGTTTAACTTCCTTTGAAGAAGAATGAGAGTCTGCAGTTATGAGGTTTACCTGCATTCTGGAAATTCTACAGACTAAAGCTGCATTTTACAGCTTATTTAGCTCTTGGGAAAAACACTAGGTGAAGAATAACTTTGGTTATAGTTAGATTTGCTTTCTAGACATTGGCAATGTCAAGAATTTGCAAAGAAAGTATTTTTTTTACTTTTTTACTGTTCAGTGTTTAGGATTGCACAGAGGCAGCGCTGATGGAAGCGTTCTAAGAGACGTAAGTGGTGCCGGTAAATGACCTGTGATTCAGACCCATATAAAAGAGCGGACAGTACAATGGCTCTGTAAACACTGGTCTTTGTGCTTTTCTTCAGGTGTTTGTTTCGCCAAAATCTTTTATGGAGTTTACTGAAAGCTCCGCACACCTTTACTAACCTGTTGTCTATTTCTTCATCAATCTTACCATCTGAGGAGATGATGCTTCCCAGATAATTAAACTGCTGGACTGATCTGAGCTTTGTTTTGCCAATGGTGATATGGGGATGATGGAAGACTTCCTGAGGTGCAGGCTAATAAAAACTTCTGTTTTCTTCAAGCTGACTTCCAGCCCAAAAAGTTCAGCAGCCTCTGCAAAGCGCGATGTTAAACGCTGCAGAGCTACTTCTGTGTGGGCGACGAGGGCGGCATCATCAGCGTAAAGCAGCTCAGGGACAAGATGATTTAGGGTCTTAGTGTGGGCCTTCAGTCGCTTTAGGTTGAATAGGCTCCCATCAGTATGATATCAAATGTAGATACCGTTTTCGTCATCGAGGTCTGCCGTGGCCCTTTGGAGCATCATGCTGAAGAAGACTGTGAATAAAGTTGGTGCAACAACGCAACCTTACTTCTCACCATTGGTTATTGGAAAGGGCTCAGAAAGTGCATTGCCATATCTGACTTGACCGCGCTGGTCCTCATGAAGCAAGAGCAGTCACGAGCATTGAGGCCATGCTGCTGAGAACACAACTGTGCTGGGCAGGGCACGTCTCCAGGATGCAGGACTACCGCCTCCCTAAGATTGTGCTCTATGGGGAACTTGCCTCTGGCTGCCACAAACGAGGTGCCCTGGAGGAGATACAAGGACTCCCTGAAACAATCCCTCAGCCTTGGCCATATTGATCATCACCATTGGTCTACCCTGGCCTCCAATCGGGAGGTCTGGAGACACACCGTCTATAACGCTGCTGCTGCTTTTGAGAACACATGCAGGATCGCTCTCGAGGAGAAAGGACAACATAGGAAGAATCGCGTCTTGTCAATATCACCCGGAGAGTCTTTCTGCTGTGCCTTCTGCAACTGGACTTGTCTATCTCACATTGGCCTTTTTAACCATCAGCACACTTGTAGCAAGTGTGGGTAGAGCCCTTCTCAAATCTTCATTCACGAAGCCCAACCATGATGTAATGACTGTTCGATATATGCCACTCGTTGCCTGAGTGGTTTAGGTTTAGGTTTGCTTAGAACCAGTTGTATCATTAGTTGCCAACTTTTGAAGTTACACATTACTAGAGCCCTTAAAAAATAAAAAAATCCCAGTATTTTACATTGATTCTGTCTTGGTGGAAAATAGGCTCTAACTGTAAAGCTTTCAGAGGATGTGCATGTGCCAGTGCATCTTTGTAGTCTGAAAATTCATGGCCATAAGCTGAGTTGTATCCACTGTGCTTTTACTGGCCCTGTTTACCTAGCAGTTTTGAAGGAGTTAGTTTTGTTATCAAGTTTGAGAGTAATTTAAAAAACATAGTAGAGGAGTCATTATTTGCTATAGTAACAAATAAATAATAATGGCCAGTCTTCGCGAGCAAAGATCCGGGGAAGGTCTTTCCACCTTCCAGCCTGCGCATTGGATTTTTTAGGTGAGACACAGTGTGCACTGAACTGAGCCCACCCTTTAATCCTAAGGTTCATCTGCCGGGGCCAAGCGAGCTTGGACGGTGGCAGCGAGGTCCTTAGGACGTAGATGGGTTGCCTTTAAGGGCTAACGAGCTCCACCTGCCCGGGAGTGGCCCTGACCGGGAATCGAACCCGGGTCTCGGCGGTGACAGCGCGGCGCCCTTACCACTAGACCACCAGGGGCTCCTGATTTGCTATAGTAGAGGAGTCATTATTTGCTTTGGTGGCTCTGCGAGCTTTGGTGTGAGAACCGATAGCACTACTGTGATACAAAGAGTGAATATCAACCTTTAGGGATTCCTTGAAGGTTTTAAGGTGAAGTTCAAACCTTTCTCCAAGACCTGTGTTTGATCATCTGTTCCCTGCAAAGACTGTGAGCAATTTCAGAAATAGAAAATCATGGGAGAATTTCTAAGTCCCCCTGAATATATTTAAGCTCAATTCTTAAAGTAGTTGTTCCTTTTAGACTAATAATTTCAAGGCATTCATTTTATTACATTGCACATTCAGTTTTAATGTAAAGGTTTTTTCCTGTTCATCTCTAGTCTTTGCTTTGATATTAAGCATATTGCTCTGTTAACAGATTATTTTTTGGTTTTGTTTTTCTTTTTTAACAAGGAAATAACTCTGACTGAAGATGATTTATTGTTGATAACAAGGTGCCTGGTTATCTGGTAGACAGACCAAGTTGATACATCAAGGTGCTTACTGAGATACTATAAATTCTATATTAATTTTAATATTATTTACAAAACTAAGTAGTCATGTTCATAATATAGACATACTGGTGTACTCTACCTGAAGTCCAAATATGTTGGTCAGTATACATAGCTGTTTCTTCAACATTTATGAGAATCTGGTGCTTTTTGCTGTAAATGTCATGTGTGCTGACTTAAGGCTTTGTGTAAAGAGACTTTCACTGCTTGTGGTTATTTCCTTCAGATCAGGGCAGTCCAAAGGTAGTGAGTAGTGGTTGTTTGCTTTAGGGAAACAAACTTCACCAGGCATTTTGGTTTTTCCTGTAGTTTCTTTGCTAACAGGGAAAAAAATATTCCAACCAGTTAGTAGACACAGAGCTATTATGGTGATATTGTACAGAAAATATTCTGGGCAGTCCAATAAAAGTGTTAACTACACTTTTCAAATAGCTAACAATGATAAGCACTTTGCCTATAGGTAGAAATGAAAAAAAAAAAAAAGATTGTTTAGGAAGCGTATAGCTGATTCTCTTAAGACTTCTCAAATATCTCAAGAACTCAATCTTCTGGATGCTGAGAATGAATGTGCTGTTAAATGAAGAAATGCCTTTTCATGAGCAATGAAACAACATCATTTCATTGCAACATCTTGAACATTTTGAAACTCACCCCTTCTGTTTTACAGGAGTTAAATAATGAATGCTGCAGACTAAAGAACTACCAAACTGCATTGTGGGCATCTGAACTTGTCTGTAGAGAGATAACATTGTTTTTCACATGAATGTGGTGATAATGGATTGACAGCAATATTAATAATAATAATTCTATTAATGTTGTTCACAAGTAACCCTGGATTACAGTAAGAATGTTGCAGCAATTCAGAAGTTGAAACGTTTTTAATTTTATTCCCATACACTGCTACTAAAGCATATGTTTTCATTCAGCAAATTATGCTTAACACCACAGGTTGGCGTCCCATGAATACTGGCTCTTGAAACGTATTAAAATTTGAAAAATCTGTGCACGTGTATGATTTACCAAATGCTCTGATGAACTGAGGGCACAAAGGACATGCTTGTTAAGAAAGCCCAATTCACCATTTTTGTGTTTTCTGTCACATTTATTACAGACTGACAAGAAAGAGAGAAGTAATGCTTTGAATGTTGCCATAGACAGTATGTGCAAGAAGACACGAGACCTTCGCAGACAGGTGAGCAACCTGGGGAAAGGAAGAAGTAGAAAAGGGTCTTGAAGGGTGCCTTTCAAAATTGCTTTTTTCAGTTTATGCACTTTGAAAACAAAGATTTTTTTTTTTGTCATATTAAAAAAATACTGAAGATAGTTGCACTGTTCCATGAGATGTATACATACAAGTTTTCAAAACTCTGGGAAAAGTCCAAATTATTCTAGCTGGATATATATTTGTACATAGGCAAATCTCTGCATGTACACATATCTAAATATATATTTTCTATAGATATATATCAGTAATATACTCTGGACATCAAGATTATTTTTGTTTTAAATAAACTTGAGTTATTATCAGTTGTTGGAACAGAAAGATGAGATGAATACCATATAAATGTATAAGTATATTTATATATTTGTTACTAACTAGCTATCTGATTTCTGCTTACATTCTGTCAAAAATATGTTCAGTGCAGAGACCTAGCAACTTGCATCACAAGCCCAGTGTGTCTAGGAACAATCCCATTCTGTCCTACAATCTCTTCCATGAGTTAATTAAACTCCAACTTATAAGAGTTTATAGACTCTATTACAGTGGTTAAAAGCTGTTAACTAATTCAATTTGTATCTTTCTGTAAACCTTTGGAAAATGTTCAGGCTGAATGTAATTATGCCCAGTTTATAGCCAATCTAGAACCAGTAATTTTCTCTAAGCAGAATATCTCTGTGGCTTCTTGACATTTTCCACTGGAAAGTATTTATGAGAAGTATTTCATCTATCTCCTGTTTTATGTTCATACATGTGAATTGCATAAAAATTGTTTTAGGAATGATGCCTACTCCAGGCTTAATTCCTGATCTGGGAAACATGAAATTGGGAGTTCTGTGCCAGCAGATATTGCCATAGAGTCTTATTTGCTTTCACTTATGAACATTCATTATTTTATCTCCCAGCAATTTTATAAGAAACATGAACATTGTTGTTTGCACTACTCTTTTATAGCTTTTATAATACTTTTTTTAAAAATAATACTGTGTACCTTCTCTGCTATTCCATCAGTCACTCACAGTGGATTTGGGCCTATGGTGTTGCACTCTGCTTTCAGTCATTGCTGGCATTGCCTCTGCAAAATTGGGGTTAAACACGAAACCTTATAAACTTTCATCTTTGAAGTCTCTTAAGTAGCACCCTTTAAACAGAACTGTCACACAGATGCTGGCCCAGGCACCAGCCTGATTGTGGGTTGTGCCATGGCCCCCTTTGGAACACCTTTGTAGACCTCAGGAAGTGAAAGAAGTCTGATGTCTGGCAAGACTTTAAGGCAAAGGTAGCCATCTCAATAGTAGTGTATCCTGGAAATTGTGAAAGGTCTCTGGCTTTCAAAGGAAGTGATTTGCATTCACTTCAAGAACTTGGCAACTACTCGTGGGGATTTTAAGCTATTCTGCATTGTTTTGATTATTCCTTGTTATGTGCCAGAGCTGTGCATGCTATTTCTGTGTGTGCAGTTTTGCCTATCCCTTCCTTGTAGAGATGTATGAATATTTAAGAAGGAATTGCCTATTCATTCTAATTTCTAATTATGGAAAATTACCATACTCGGTTCTTGCCTTCCAGTTGTTTCCCAGTGTAGCGTGAATGGGCTGCGCAGATGTTTCTCCTATGGTTGTTCTGCAGTGTTGGCTGCTTGGTTGTTTTTATAAATTTTATTCCTCGGGATATTCTTATATTTCTATGCTGTTACTTCATCATGGATAGCTTTTTCTGAACACAAAGGAGATTGCCTTCCTGGCACCCCTTAGAGACGGGAAAGGGAGATCCCTCAATAATAACTAATCTGTGGTTTGTCCAGGACTTTTGCCGGGCTGGTCTTTTGAGGCAAGAGGCAAATAGAGGCAAACACAGTTTTCTGTACTCATCAGAATACTGATGTTTAATAGTGTTGTAAACAGCTGCTGGCATTTTCTTCTCTACCTTCCCCTGCTTTTAACAACCTTATGCCCCATGTTTTATAAACAACATGTTTCTATATTATTTTATAATGCACTTTGATACCAAAACAAAAATTCCCCATACCTCTGCTACTGTAACAGTCTGCTCAAAGGGTAAGAAGAAGACCTTGCATCTTAAAAATAAAACAGTTTGTCAGGCATCATCCTCCCCTGCTTTCCCTCTTGTGATGGTGTCTCTTTCACTTATAATATGAGAAAAGTTTTAATTATAGCACAATAACTTCCCTAGCATTGCCTGCCAGCATTGCTGCTGCTGTCCTTTGTCTGTTTATAAGCCTCCCTATCTGGTTTGCTTTTAGCATTTTGCTCTAGAGGTGGCCAGAGTCAGACTTACTGAGTCATGAAAACAGTGATTGTTATGCTTAGGATAAAAAGAAATAGATATTGCTTCAGATATTCCTTTTTTTCTTTTGTCTTTTCCCTCTTTTGTTCTACATTGCGTTTCTCAGTTCTGTAATGCTACACAAGCCATCGTTTGAAAATCTTAGCTTCATGTATTTCTTAGAACAAAATAATAATGATAATTTATATGTGAAAGGTTAATTAAACCAAGCAAACCAGTAAAAAGCGATAGCAAAGAATTATGCAAAGAGAGATAAAATTAGGCTGCTGGTTTGAAATTGGATGCCTCAAGCCCACCACAAATGTGACGGAGGTTATTAGAGTCACTGGTCCTCAAATAATACACTAAGGCTGTGAAAGTCCTACAGCCTGGGCTGTGCAGAACCAAAAAATATTTCTCTTGGAGATAATGAATCATCAGCCATGGATATAATGGTTCCATAGCTTTTTGTTTTAAATTGAAATCTTAAGTTTTAAACTGTGATTCATTGAGGTCACATTCATCTACTTAATTTTAAACAGGAAAAAAATGTCTTTTTTTCTTCAGCAGAAAGATTTTAACAGGTAACTTAGCAGGCCTGGAGGTTCAACATATTTGTTCCTACTAGTGAAAGTTTTCAAAACTTTTTAATACCTTTTTTTTTTTTTTTTTTTTTTTTTTTAATTCCAGCCAGCATGAAGCTGAGAATGTAAAAAATCCAATTTTGTATTGGAATAGTGTAGCAGTTATTAATATAATAAATAATAAGTCCCATAGGGACCATAGTGACACCAACGTGGTGTGTAACAAGAGGTCTTTTTTATTCAAGGAGTCCCAGCTTATATAGCAGTTTCAAATGTTGCCACGTCACACAGGTTACTTCTTAAGCCAATCTCATACAAGCATTCAACAGAGCATGTGTGTGACAGAGTACTTAGAACTACAACTCCCAGGATGCTTTGCAGCACCTGGTGTAACCAGACCCCATAGAATAGCATAGACTTTCTCCTTCTGAATTCCTTTTCAGAACATATAATGTATGCAGATAATATATCCCAATGGGATAGATACAGTAAGTTATAAGAAAAGAAACCATTCTAAACTTGTGGTTTTTTGGAAGATCTGTCTGTCCCCCTGTTGAGTCAATGAGAGATTTAGTAATAATTATGGCCAGTCTTCGCGAGCGAAGATCCGGGGAAGGTCTTTCCACCTTCCAGCCTGCGCACTGGATTTTTTAGGTGAGACACAGTGTGCGCGGAACTGAGCCCACCCTTTAATCCTAAGGTTCATCTGCCGGGGCCAAGCGAGCTTGGACGGTGGCAGTGAGGTCCTTAGGACGTAGGTGGGTTGCCTTTAAGGGTTAACGAGCCCCACCTGCCCGGGAGTGGCTCTGACCGGGAATCGAACCCGGGCCTCGGCGGTGATAGCGCCGCGCCCTTACCACTAGACCACCAGGGGCTCCATGAGAGATTTAGATAGTGAGGTTATCCCAAAGCTAGTAGTGGAATTCATATCCAGATCTTGTCCTCATAATCCACAGACTTCTCTACTATTATTTCTGCTGTGCGTGGTCACTGCCCTACCTACAAGCACAACATTATCAAAAAGATTTTTTTTTTTGCATATTTCTAGTGGTAGGAACCTTTACTTCTACTGACTTTTCACACAGATGCATTGGGGCAAACTTCTAAGAGAAAACATCTACTTGGGCAACAACCCTGTCAGCCTGTAAGAACTTCAAAACATTTTTTTTCCTTTTCTGTTCCAATCAATATCTTTTCTATATATTGTAAAAGTAACATCTTTGTAGTAGGAAAATTCAGTTAACTTGATAATTTAGTTACACTGCACGTGTTGCTACAACTGGTTGAGTGTTTAATGATTAAAAGGAATAATTGTAGTGTATAGGTTTATAACATGCAGAATAACCCCTCAAGTGCAGTAACGTCCCAGAGATCAGTTATAAGCTTATGTGCAACCTAATTTAAAGGAGATAATTTGTGGCAGAATGTTACACTTCATTAATAATTTAAGTAAAAAGTTCAGGAACAATTAATTTAAGCAGAGAAAATTGAACTGCAGACTCATTTATAGTTCTTCTTGCTCTATTAATACTTTATCAGGTGGCATAATCAGTAATCTCGTTGGCATAATTACCATGAAGGCAACTACTTTGTAAATCAGATTGTGTTGTTGGGTTTCTTAACAAGAAAATATTTGGGTAATTTTACAATTATGAAAACGTGTGATGAAGACTATTTTGAGAGAGCAAACATAATTATATTAATATTTTCTTTGTAAAATTAAATAGACTTCTCCCTTGGCATCTGAGTTACAAGGGACAATACCCAGGAGACATGAGATCTGGTCTAACTAATTTTTCACATATGAAATCATGTAAGTAGTCTGTTCTATTCATCAAGGAAGGTGAATATTTGTTTGGCTCCCTTGATTTCAACAAAAGTAGTATATGTTCTAAGTGTTTTATGTATCTGTACTCACACACAGACATTCACACCTACAAACATGCATATTTAGCTAGTGGCATATGAAAATTGTCCCTAAAATTAAATACAGTTTTCTGTGTAATAGATAAATTGCAGCTGCAGTAGGTTTTAGACACACAATCTTGCAAATAAAGCAGGAGTACAGTGTGTACATGTTTATGTTATAAAATATTAATGGCCAGTAATTATAACAGACTAACAAATAGCCACTTAGTAGGTACTAATGTGATGCTTTCTTTTGCAGCTCCGTAAAGCCATTATAGATCACATCTCAGACTCCTTCTTAGATACCACTGTTCCACTTCTAGTTCTCATTGAAGCTGTTAAAAATGGAAGAGAGAAAGAAATAAAGGAATATGCTGCTCTATTTCGAGAACACACCAGCAGACTTGTGGAGGTATGTTTGATGGAACTGCACTTTTTTCTATTTGAATATATGGTGTAAGTGGCTTGCCACCCAACACTTCCTTTGCTGGCTGATATCATAAAACATTTAAGGCTGGCATTTTAGGAAAGAATAAATAAATGGCTTAGGGTAACAGTGAAGGTACTCCATTTTTTATGTAATGGCTGCAATAAGACAGAGGGCTTTGGGGTTATATAGGATTTCGTTGCATAGAAATTTGGTACTGTGGAATTGTAATATGAGGAACTTCAACTCATTCAAACTGGAACCTGAAACACTGCTGGAATATTGAAGTCAGCAATTTGCAGCAATATTGTCTCAAGTGCCTGTAAGGAATGCATTGGTAATTTTTGTGGGGTTTTTTTTAGCTTTTGGTGCTTTTTTGTGCAGTAATGCAAAAATGGGGAAAATCAATGAATTCACTTTGTGGCTAAAATTTTACTTATGAAAACTGGCTCAGAATTTATTAGTCTTGAGTGATCTACAAACAATGAACAACAAATAGGTTAAAAACTGAAGTAGAGGTATGGTATTGCATTTATGTTTCTCTTTATGGTCATGTAATTACAGAATAAGACTGGTTGTTATTCTCTGATTTACAAGAGTGTATCATTTTGACCATGGGGTTAGTTTGTGACTAAAGGGACCAGTGGCTGCACAGATCCACTGCCTAGAAAATCTGCAATGCCATGGGGTAGCTGCCTGTGAACATGAGACTGCCCAGAAGAGAAATACCTTTAGAGTTCTTGTACCACAACCTGATCCTGCTGTATGTGTAAATACACAGTGGGGATGTGTGCACAGTTATATTTATGCTGTGACTCAATGTGCTGCCTACACTGAAGAAAACATACTTTTAAAAATGCTTTCAGAGAGACTGTGCACAGTGCCACCTCCTTTTGTTGAATTAGTTGTTCCAAATGTTACTTTGCTGGTGCTTATATAATATTCTTCTATTGAAAATTCTCATAAAATAAAATGGAAGTTATCTTCTGGATATGTACTAGAACTGAAGTGTCTTATTTAAAAGTTGCTTACATTGGTTTAATGCACTTACCAGTATCTCTAAGTGAGAGCTTGAATGATGGCTTTTTGATAAACTGTATTTATCAGCTGCTAAACTCTCCAGCAATTTAATTAGATGGTAGTTGTACTGCATCCATCAGCTGTGAGCCTATCAGAGGTAAAGCAAAACAAAAAGGAAAAAAAAGCATTAACAGCTAAGCAAGTGGCCACAAGGGGTTTTGTACCGATAAACAGATTTATCTGATTTTTAAGAAAAAATGAGTCATTTCAAACAGCATCATTTAAGAGAAGGAGTTATGGTAGCTGTTTTATGGAAAGTGTAACACCAATTAAATTGATATAAATGGAATAGCATTTAAATACATTAGAGCAGTAAATAGGAAGTATATTTTGGGGTTTAGTGGCCTAAAACCTGTTAAACTGGGAATTATGTATTTTTAAATTGATGGACTAGAGCTCTGCACTGTTACTTTAATTTGTCAAGGAATATAATGGATGGATAGATCTGACCAGCTGTGATTTTCACAAGTGGATGTCCTTCAGAAATACACACATATTTCAGAACTGAGAAGTGGCAGATACATCTGTGGCTTGTTTCCAGCTGAACACAGTGCCATGGGTGATGGTTACGCTGCAGAAATCAGGTCTAGCTAAAAGTGCTCCCCAGATCAGGGAGCCTGATTCTGCCAGAATCAAAGACAGGTCAAAAAGGAGACGAACTGGCTTTGAATTCTTGCTATTTCTATTATCCCTTTGTTTATCAAAGAATTTAATTTGTTTGGTTGCAATTGCAATACATAAACATCCCTTGTCCCCTTTGGGGCAGCTACCCAGCCTTTTGCCAGGGAAGTGGTTGATAACATGGTATTGTCTGCTGCCTGTAGGAGTTTGACAACAGGTTATTTCAAGATCCAATCCAGTACAGAGTTTCCATAGCTTATGAGAATAGGCTGTCAAGCATCTATTTCGTTAGGAGGTTCTTAAATGACAGTTATGATTTACATGTTTTCAGGAGAGTCGTCTCATTCATTCCTTTATTGTTTATTTCCCTCACTGTTACAAGGGCCAATGAACACATTCGCGTACAACTTTCAGGTTCTGAAATACAAATCCAAAAAGGCAGTCATGCTGCTGCAGAAATGGGCTTGATCTCTGCAGCTGAGAATGACTCCAGTCAAGTACTGAAGTGCAGGATCATAGGTGTCACGTGCCTGGCTATGGAATACTAAGAGACAATAGTTGTAGGTAAAATGCTTTTAAAGCTAAATAACTTAGGAAAGAAATGTTGCAAAAAATGGCATAGAGCTCTAACTGTGCCAGAGGATGCTGGTAGGTGAGGTAGAGGAGACATCAGGCAATTGTAGTATAATTGTGATGCAAGCAAGGATGCCCATGTTGTTAAATGCAAAATACCTTGTTTATCAGAATAAAAAAGGTGTTTTTTTTTCCTTTTGTCAGCTGGAAGTAGTCTTTATGGAACATGGGATGCAGTGGAGCTGCTTGCAAGCATTGAAAAGTGAAAACAAACTCAGATGTTGGCAATCCCTAGGTTTTGTCTTGGGGAACAAAAGCTAAAAGAAAAACTCATTTACATTCTGACTGTCCTTTTTTTTTTTTTTCTGGCTATAGAACACCCCAGGTGTGGGTCTGAGCCCATTGTAAACCTTTGACATCTCTAGATCCCACAGTAAAGAATTTCACAGCCTATGCATTGTGTAGAGAAGTGAAACCCCCCACATGACCATTTCCTTTGCTGTCCCTGAATTCCTGTATCGGAAGAGACGATGAGCACCAGTCCCTATTTTCCTTCTCCATGCCACTTACTCTTGCAGTTGTGTGCTTTCAAAGTTAAGTATTTCTGGTCTTTTAAAATTTTCCTTACTTGGAAGCCATAAAAGGATCACCCTGCTATCTTCACTCTGCCTTTTCCAGCACCTTGCAGCCCATGAGGTGGTAAGACAGAACTGTTAATGCTATTGAATACATTCAAGATGTTTCATAGAAGCACAGAATCCCGGAATGGTTTGGGTTGGAAGGGAGCTTAAGCATTACCTCATTCCACTCCCCTGCCATGGGCAGAGACACCTTTCACTAGAACAGGTTACTCAGAGCTTTGTCCAACCTGGCCTTGAACACTTCCAGGGGTGGAGCATCCACAGCTTCTCTGAGAAACCTGTGCCAGGACCTCACCACCCTCACAGGGAAGAATTTCTTCCTAAAATCCAATATAATCCTGCCCTCTATCAGTGTGAAGCCATTCCCCCTTGTAAACACTCTCCATCTTTCTTGTAGACTCTCTTTCTTTATGTACTCCATTTCCACATCTATTAATTCCTAACAGTGTTTCTTCTGAGATGGTGCTGGACACTAAACTGCAATTTTCACAGAAAGTTTATATGGCGATCCCAGAATCTTGATTAGTACTAGTCTGCTGAGATCTGTCATATATATGTAATATTGCATTTTTTTTTCCTCACAAAGCAACTCCCTTTGCATCTCTCTACACTGAGTTTCAGCTTCTCTGTTATTGTGTAGTCATCTGGTACTGTGACATCCTTTGCAAATCTTCATTGGTTCTTTTATTTATTTCAGTGATCAACTTGGTAAAAAATGCATAAATAAAATTTATAAAAAGTTAATGCAGACACTGTGACCACAAGAAAATTTCTGGTTGTTGCGTGTGACCTGGTTCAGGAAGGGCACGGTGACTACCTCTTAGTCACTCAGGCCATTAACTCACAGACACCAATGTGGTGGACAGTAAAATGGTGTTTATTAGTTCGTAACACGGCCTTTTATAGTGCTTAATTGCGCCGTCATTTCCGTCTGCTTACGGTATCACCTAAACTACTGTTGGCTGTCAGGCATTGGAGGGGGGTGGTCCCTGCCTTTCCGTACATCCCGAAGTCTTCCTATCGCCAGACCCTATCTACTCACATCTGGTTCTCAACTTTCTTCCAATTTCCTGTTGATTTTTACCTGAGGTTGAAAAATGTGATGCTAATCTACCTAAATCATCTGAGAATTACTGGTTACTCAGGCACCCCAATGCCTGGAGGAGTTATGGGATCTATGTGTCTGTATCTCAGTACTCCATACACAGTGCATTCAATAGTCCAACTCTTTCTTGGCAGCCTCAGGGAGGGTATTCTTCCATTGCTTCCATGTATGAAAACAGGGCTGTCCATTTCTGCTTATTTTAACATTGCTAGTCTAAAAGATATTTATGATATAAGGAAGATTAATGACTATTTCCTTTTCCTCAACATAAAGACAAGTTTTGGCACTTTAAGATAAGTGCTATGAAATGACTGCTGAAGTTCAATTCTTTCCAAACTAAGGAAAGAGTGTGTTTAAAAAAATGTAGCCTTTCCCGAATCCAATCATGAGTTCCAGTTCAGTAAGTTTTTTCTTATAAAAAGCAATGTCTCAGCTTTATTCTGTTCAGCTGATGTTCCACATACTCACAAGGCTTCAGAGCAAGCCTGTTGAGCTGGGCTGATGATATTAGTGTTGCACCAATGATGAATTTGATAATGCTAATTTAAAAGTGGAGTCAGGACAGCATGTTGTAATAAAGAGATAATACTACATTCTCAAAATAAGCAGTGAGCAATCAATTGAATCTGCATTAATGGTATTCCCTATACTGTTATTCTTGTCTCAGTTATAAACATGCTGTTGTTGCCATATTGACAAAACCATCTGTGTTTAATTTTCCTTTCACAGTATTTCACCTGATTGCAGGGTTTTATGAAATAAGATTCTCAATGTGGGCCACAAACACCTGTCTACTTACGTAGTCAGATCTCCAGTCACATAAAATCCCATTTTAGTACTGCAGCCAGCAAGTCGAACAGTGATTGGTAAGATAGGTAATGCGATGATTTTGATGTTACAGGGTGGGATTGTAAGTCCATTTTTAATTAAAACAAACCATTATTTTTGTGTCATTTCCAGTTTGA